CCAGCCACTGTAACCACATCTTTTACCTCTTGGACTTAGGAGGTTGTCTCTTCTTTATCATTTCACGGAGCCTTGCAGCTGACTGAAAGTACACAAAATACATACGCATGTAAAAATGCTATCTTATAACCACATAGCTTAACTTTTAAAATATTAAAGTCTATTCAGCAAATAAAGATCCTTAAGACAGAATACCTGTTTTCCATGGTAGACATGAGATAAATATACTATCCACAATAAAGGCAAGTAAATAATGCTGCCCAATACACTGATATTCTGATACTTCAGACAAAGTTGCTAATGAGTTTACATGATGAAATGCAAAATTAACTCAAACATACTATTACAAATAACAAGCTTCAACCTCTACTACTGGCAAAATTACTTTATATTTTTTTCCCAGAAAAAAATGTGATATTTTTCTAAATCAAATCCTATTTTGTTAACTAAAATCATAGATTATGTATTTCTGATAAATTTTCAATTGCTGATGATTTAACAATTTAATCCTTCAATTAATCCCCTCACCTACCTGGTGCAAACAACACAGAATATCTAGGAATCTATTATTCAGAGAAATCAATTACTTATTTTGTAAAGTTAAGGGTTTGATATCTTTGGTGGGGGCAATTACACCCTCCTAAACAGCTATTCTTTCACACACAGAAATTTTACCCCCATTGTGAAAACACCAATGTAAATTATACCTTTAGCTGTGATCATAAACACTAGCATAGACATCTTTTATCCTTAAAGCTCCCTATAAAAAGTATACTCCCATCTATTCTTAAAGTTTAAGATTTAAAAACAAACAGTCCTAGGATGTAGCTTAATTGGTAAAGCATTTGCCTATTATGCAAGAGTCCCTGGGTTCAATGCTACCACTTAAAAAAAAAAAAAAAATAGGGCTGGAGTTTTGGCTCAGTGACAGAGCACTTGCCTAGCCGCGTGAGGCACTGGGTTTGATCCTCAGCACCATATTAAGAATACAAACAAGGGGCTGGGGATGTTGGTCAAGTGGTAACGCGCTCGCCTAGCGTGTGTAAGGCACTGGGTTCAATTCTCGGCACCACATAAAAATAAAATAAAGATACTGTGTCCATCTAAAACTGAAAAATAAATATTTTTAAAAAAAGAATATAAACAAATAAAATAAAGTGATTGTGTCCATCCACAACTAAAAATATTTTTTAAATATATTTTAGTTGTAGATGGATACAATATCTTTACTTATTTTTATGTGGTGCTGAGGATCGAACCCAAGACCCTTGCACATGCTAGGCGAGCACTCTACCGCTGAGCCACAACCCCAGCCCAAAATATTTTTAAAATAAATAAAAAAGCAAAACTTGTGGGGCTGGGGCTGTGGCTCAGTGGTAGCGCACTTGCCTGGCATGTGTGAGGCACTGGGTTCAATTCTCAGCACCATGTAAAATAATAAATAAAGGTCTTTTAACAATTAAAGAAAAATTAAAAAAAAAAAACTTGTCCCCTCACTCCTACATCACACATCCTTTAACCCACCACTCCTACTTCTTCTTTATCTTTAGTTAAAATAACCATTTATAACTTACTGTTTCTTTGAATGTAAGACAACCAATAATGATATCATTATTTTATGTATCACCAATACTGAGGGGGGACTGCCAATTATAGTTTTAAGATACCAATTTAAAAAATACTAAAATGTGAAAAGATATACTTAAAATCAATGAAATATGGTAATCTCATTCTATTAACATGAATTAGAACATGATGTATAAAAGATTCATTATCTATGTTCTTTTATATATATGTGTGTGTATATATTTATTTATTTATTTATTTTTGGTTAGACACAATACCTTTATATTGTTTATTTTATTTTTACGTGGTGTTGAGGATTGAACCCAGGACCTCGGGCATGCTAGGCGAGCGCTTTACCGCTGAGCCACAACCAGCCCAATATCTATTTTCTTTACATGAACTGAACGCTATACTCGACTGGGAACCTTTGGGTTAGTGTATTTTCCAAAGTGCTTTGCAAAGGTTTCTTAACAGGCACATATTGGGGCTGGGGTTGTAGCTCAGTAGTAAAGCGCTTGCTTAGCATGTGTGGGTTCAATTGCTTAGCACTGGGTTCAATTCTTAGCACCACATATAAATAAATTAATAAAATAAAGGTCCATCAACATCTAAAAAAAATATTTTAAATAAATAAATAAGTAAAATAGGGGACTGGGGATATAGCTCAGTTGGTAGAGTGCTTGCCTCACATGCACAAAGCCCTGGGTTCAATCCCCAGCACAAAAAAGGAAGGAAGGAAGGAAGGACAAAAATAAAGGTATCGTGTCCATCTACAACAAAAAATTACTACAAAAATAAAAAATTTTAAACAACAGTCCTTATATAAAACCTACTGAATTGTGTCTTCCTTCATTTGACACTATGAAAACTGTACTACAAGTATTTCATTGACCTACTGGCAGGAAGAATGGCATTTTAGTTTTAATTAGAAACTTCACACAAACCTCAGACAACTGAAGAGAAGCAAAAAAGTTTGCATTTTCTGATATGTTCTTGAGTCTCTTCCTTTCATATGGTGACAATCCTGAAAAATCATCCTATAAAATTACACCAAAAATAATGTTATTTTACATAATCATTTAAAGCAAAAACACCTCATGAAACCAGGTCTTTCATTGTCTACATGTGTACCTTCTTTCAAATTGTACCCCCTCTATTCATTTGATAATGTCTTACCAAATAGCACATAATCTTTGCTGCATTGAATACTGAGAGAGTCTGAATTTGGGATAATCACAAAGTATTTGCATGTATTCCCAACTGAATACGAAGCGATCTGATATCAGAAATCAAGTTCAAAAGCTAGATCTGAACTTGTGATCCTCCTCCCCCAGCCTCCCAAGCCACTGGAATTACAGGTGTGCACCACCATGCCCAACTAAAAGTTATGTTTATTAAACAAATGATTCCTATTAAACACAGAATGAATAAATGCATTTGTTGCTATCTCCTCCTAAAAACCCACAAATACAACACTGAAATAAATATGAAAGTGAGATAAGATCCTAAAAGTTTTTAGAGGAAAAAATAACAATCAAGACTCAGAGAGGCACTAACTTCTCAAGATTAAGAAAAAGCCATAGGGGCTGTGGCTGTAGCTCAGTGGCAGAGTGCTTGCCTTGCATATGTGAGACACTGGGTTCGGTCTTCGCACCATATAAAAATAAAAGAAAAAAAGAAAAAGCTATAAGACAATAATACATTAAAAATGCTAAGAACGGCGGCTGGGACTATAGCTCAGTGGTAGAGCACTCTCACACATGCGAGGCACTGGGTTCAATCCTCAGCACCACATAAAAATAAAGATACTGTGTCCATCTACAACTAAAAAATAAATTAAAAAAAAAAAAAAGCTAAGGATGGCCAGGCATGGTGGTGCATGCTCGTAATCTCAGAGGCTCAGGAAGCTGAGGCAGGAGGATTTCAAGTTCAAAGCCAGCCTCAGTAACTTAGCAAGGCCCTAATCAACTCAGGGATACCCTGTCTCTAAATAAAATATTAAAAAGGGCTGGGGATATGGCTCAGTAGTTAAGTGCCCTTGGGTTCAATCCCCAGTACCCCTCCCAAAAAAGAAAAACTAATGAAAAACCAGGGCCTGGGGCTGTAATTCAGTGAAAGAATGCACATTTAGCATGTATGAGTCCCTGAGTTTGATCTGCAGCACCAGGAAAAAAAAAAAAAAAAAGTTCTACTGGAAAGATTAAATTATTTTCAACTTATGATCATAACTCCAATTAAGTCATCATTTGAATAGAGCTAACGATTTTTCATATCCCTTTTTTCAGGAAGCTACTATAAGTTGCACTTCACCAAAATGAAAGAATAAGCCAAGAGAGAGAGAAACATGGATCAAAGGGACATAAGTTCCAGCACAGATGCAATAAAAGATGAAAATTCAAAAGAAAATGGTAAATGGTAGGCCTTTACCATTGAATAAAATGGTTCTGAATGGAATAAGATGATGGAGAGCACTAAGAGAATTTTGTGCAGGCCAGAAGCAGTGTCACACACATATAATTCCAGCTATTCGAGGCAGGAGGATCACAAGTTCGAGGCCAGACTAGTCAATTAAGCAAGATCCTGTCTCAAAAATAAATAAATAAAAGGGTTAGGGATCTAGCTCAGTGGTAGAGCGAGCCTGGATTCAATCACAGTGCCACCAAAAAAAAAGAGAGAATGATCATATTTTGTGAAGAAAAACAATAAAATCAAGACTTCAGGGACTGGGGTTGTGGCTCAGTAGTAGGGCATCTGCCTAGCATGTATGAGGCACTAGGTTAGATTCTGAGCACCACATATAAATAAATGAATAAAATAAAGGTCCATCGACATCTAAAAAATATATTTAAAAGAAAACTTCAGAAATCTTTGATTTTGAGCCCAACACAGTGGCTTAGACATATTAACCCACTTCCTTAGGAGGTTGTGGCAGGAGGAACACTTGAGCCCAGGAGTTCAAGACCAGCTTGGACAACATAGTAAAATCCTGTCACAAAAAAAGAAAGAATCTTCTTCAAGCAGGAATGGTGGTGCACATCTATAATCCCAGCAATTTTGGAGGCTGAAGCAGAAGGATGTCAGGTTTGAGAACAGCCTTTTTTAAAATGGGACCCCATCTTTAAAAAAGGAGGAGGGGGCTGGGAATGTAATTTAGTGGTAAAGCACCCCTGGGTTTAATCTCCAGTACCAGAAGTAGAGAAGATCTTTGATTTATATTGAGAAGTCTTACAACACAGATAAAACTGGATTAAAGCTAATAAAAGTATAGAAAGGAAAAGTGTGTGTGTGTAATATTGGTATAAGTGAAATAAATCCTTTATTTTTAAGCAAAGCTTAATTTTCCATATAAGTTAACAGCTACATTGGGGGAGAAAAAAGCTAAAAAGGTTGAAAGTGCCATTTGTTGTTGAACAAAAACAGACAGAAAGGTGTGTGTCAGAAAATTGCCAGCTATTTGATTTTTGCTGTGTGTACATGTGAATTTTTCTTACATCAATATGTGCATGTATTACTGACCAAAATATTCTTCTCACATACATGCAAAATAGCCAGGCGTGGTGGCACATGCCTGTAATCCTAGTGACTTGGGAGGTCGAGGCAGGAGGATCATGAATTCAAAGCCAGCCTCAGCAACTCAGCAAGGCCCTAAGCAACTCAGTAAGAGCCTGTTTCTAATAAAATATAAAAGAGGGTTGGGGGTGTGGCTTGTGGTTAAGCACACCTGGGTTCAATCCCTGGTTAAAAAAAAAAATATATATATATATATATATATATATATATGCAAAATAACATTGACAGCAAAGACGAAATTGGAAAGGTTCTATTTACCACTGCCTTTAAAAATGCCATCTTAAAGAAAAACACCACCATCAAATACAGTTGTACCCTCCTACCCAAAATTTTACTTCCCACAGTTTGTTACTTGAAGTCAACCATGGTTCAAAAGTAGCAAATGGACATTCCAGAAAGAAAATTATTTTTTATTTATTTTTCTTTGCAGTATTGGGAATTGAACCCAGGGATGCTCTACCACTGAGCTATATCCCCAGTCCTTTCTTTTTCTTTAAGACAGGATCTCACTAAATTGCCCCTGCTGACCTTGAACTTGCATTTCTCCTGCCTAAGACATCTGAGTCACTGAGATTATAGGCTTAAGCCACCAAACATACCCAGAAATAAACAATTTTTAAGTTTTAAGTTGTATGTCTGAAACCTCAGTTCTGTTCCATTCTGCCCAGTGTCCCTCTGTCTAGCATATTCAAACTGTATATGCTACCCACCTGTTAGTAGCTATCTGGGTTATGAGATCAACTGCAGCAATATTATAGTGCTTGTGTTCAAGCAATCCTTATTTTACTTAATGGCCCCAAGACACAAGAGCAGTGATGCTGGCAATTTGGATATGACAAAGAAGCCGTATGGTGCTTCTTTTCTGTGAAAAGTTTAAAGTTCTCAGTATGAAAAGAAAAAAATACATCATGGGTAAGAACAGTACAATAATACTTTCTGAGGCCGAGTATGGTAACACATACCTGTAATCCCAGCTACTCAAGAGGCTGAAGCAGGAGGATTACCAGTTCAAGACCAACCCGGGCAATCTAGCAAGACCCCATCTCAAAAATAAAACTTAAAAAGGGATGGAAATGTGACTAAGTGGAAGAATATTTGTCTAGCATAATCAAGGCCTTAGGTTCAATCCCCAGTTATGATGATGAATAAATTAGGCACAATAAGAAGCTAATAAGAAATTATTTTAATGAAACAGAATTATAAATGATATCATATGGTAAACTATGTGAATGTAGCCTGTCTCTCTCAGTCTCTCTACAAATATTTTATTATACTCACCCTTCTTGTTTACCATAAATAAGTGAAACTTCAGAAAGTAAAACTGTGGAAAGTAAAACCACAGATATGGGGCCCTACAATAGTATACACAAGGTTTGGCAACATCCATTATTTCAGGCATCCACTGGGTCTTGGAATATATATCTTCCCCAGAAAAGAAGGGACTATTGTAAACCCAGATGTGATGCACTGAGAACACATTTGCTTCTGAGACCATTCCCAGTAACACAAAACCTTTAATCATGAGAAAATGTCAAACAAACCAAAATTGAAGGAAAATATTTAAAATAACTGTCCAGTACTCTTTGAATATTAAAGACATGAAAGATTGAGAAAGTGTTACATAGTGGAGGAAACTACAGAGATACACTATCTAAATCCTGTGTGATCCTGGCATGGGTGGTCAACAGGAAAAAATATGACTGGAAAAACTGGTGAAATCCAAACTCTATTTAACAATATTGTATCAAGGTTAAGTAAGATATTTGTAAGCTGGATGAAAAATATTCAGGATCTCCCCAAAACTATCTTTGCAACTCTTCTATAAGCCAAAAATTATCTCAAAAATTTTATTTTCTTTTTGTTGCCTCAAAATTAAAAAAAAAAATCAACTGCTAAGAAATAATTTATAAAATATTTAACAGAAGAGTTGGGAAATAAAATTTAGAAAATTTCCCAAAAAATAGAATAAAATCTTATACTTGCAAGGCAAGGCTCTTATCTGTAATGCAGCAAAGTCTTCCTTCATTTGGGGAAAAAAATAAGCTTATAAACTAAATACTGTTCCTAAAGCATGGAACCACAAACTCTTAGTCATATTACTCTAAAAAGTTAATAAGTGTGGGGGATTATAACTCAATGATAGAATGCTGGTCTAGCAGGCACAAGAACCTAGGTTCAATCCCATCCCTGCAAAAGAGAAAAGATAATGAAAAAGAAGGCCTGGGGATGCAGCTTGGTGGTAAAATGCTTGTCCAGTATGCACAAGGCCCTGGGTTCAATCCTCATGACCACAAAACAACACAACTCACACACACAACCCACCAACAACTAAAACAAAAATTTAAGGAGCTGGGGTTGTGGCTCAGTGGTAGAGCACTTGCCTAGCATGTGTGAGGCACTGGGTTCAATTCTGAGCACCATGTATAAATAAATGAATAAAATTAAGGTCCATCCATATATTAAAAAAAAAAAATTTTTTTTTTCAAGTACATTTTTAAAAAAGGAAGAGAACACGCCAGGCCCAGTGGTGCACCCACACTCCTGTAATCCTAGCCGCTGGGGAGGCTGAGTCATGAGTTCAAAGCCAGCCTCAACAAAAAAACAAGGTGCTAAGCAACTCAGTGAGACCCTGTCTCTAAATAAAATACAAAATAAAGCTGGGGATGTGGCTCAGGGATCAAGTGCCCCTGAGTTCAATCCCAGGTTACCAAAAAAAAAAAAAATGGAAGAGAAAATAATAAAATGTCCTATTTAAAATGTTATAATTTAGTTTGTCCTAAGAAAAATGTATTCTATGCATTTATGGTTCTGCTTGACTATCTCCCTCCTGCTGATCATATTTTCTCACATCAAATTAAATCCATTTTATATTAACTTCTTACACATGTAATCTTACACTCTAAGAGGCCAAAAAGATTCTGACCAGTGCTTCTCAAAGCTCCATTCCAGACTAACAGCATGGACCAACAGCACCAAAGTCTCCAGGAAACCACATTAAAAATGCAAATTCTATGCTCCACCTAAATCCAATGCTCTACAACTGTGCTATATTCCCAGCCTTTTTCTTTCTAAATTGCCAAGGCTGGCCTTGAATTTGAGATCCTACTTTCCTCCTAGCCTCAACCTCTAGAGTCACTGGGATTAAAGTAACTGGGAGTACAGGAGTGAGCCACCATGCGGACCCTCTCCAGGTAATTCTGATACTGGCTAAATTATGAGAACCACTGATTTATCCAATCTTCTCATTAGGGAGGTTATTGGCTTAAAGGAACAAGATTTCTTAGAAGTTGACACGCCTAGAAACTAGGCTCCCAACCACTATTTCCATGCACTTATGATTTACCCTTTTACTGTCCCACATGGGTCTGGATTCTTACCTATGGGACAATAATGCATAAAACAAATGCCTATTTCATAACAAAAACTTTTCAATTATCATGTCTCTCTTTCCCTAGCTTCATTTTCTGTTGCTCTAGTTCCATCAACTTTTTGTCATGTGGCATGGTTTATCTTGTCCTGCCTGAAGTTGCCACTCAGAAAGCCAGGAGAACCACCCAATCCATGTTTTTACCCTGGACCCCGTGATTCAGATGTCTGTAGTACTGGGGTTTCCGCTTTGAAAAACACTGTCACTTCTCCTAAGGGAAAAACTACTTAAAATTTAAAAAAAAAAAAAAAAATACTGCCTAGGCAGAAGACAAAAGAATTAGATTCCTATCATGTGAAGCTAATTTAAAAAAAATTTTTTAAAAAAAGGATATTCAGGAAAAAAAAAAAATTAGATTCCTTAAATTGACTCCAACCATTTAACAGAACTAATGAGTATTTCTCTTTTGTGTTAACTTTCCTTCATTTGTCTCCTTTTGTTTTTAAAAGAAATGCAATCAATTAATGATTGTTTTCCTACTCTAACATCAAAGGTCAATTTCGTTTGTCCCACAGGCTGAAAACTTCTGGTAAACCATGCATAAATATGTAAAGGTTAAGGCTGGGGATATGGCTCAGCAGTAGAGCACTCACTTAGCACTTGCAAGGACCTGGGTTTGATCCTCAGTACCACATAAATATAAATAATAAAATAAAGGTATTGTGTCCAACTACAACTAAAAAATAAAATTTAAAAAAAGTAAAGGTTAGCAAGGCATGATCAAGTATGAGTAAGCTCAAAAATATATACAATAAACTGAGAGGAAAAAAAGGGAACTAAAATTAATCCAAGGAGGTTATCTGATAAATATTTAAAACACAAAATTTCCACTAAACACATTAAATGATAAAATAATTTTATTGCACTTAAGGCCTTTGATGACCTTATAGAACTTCAAATTTCAAAACAGCCAAGAAAAATTAGAACTACTAATTAAATTCTTACCAGGCCAGGTGTGGTATCTTCATCACTGCTTTCCATATCAACGTTGCAAATCACAGCATCTGAACTGTTCTTGTGTTCTAGTTTGTTACTTTCAGCATGAATATCTAAGGATGATTTTTGCAGAGTAGATTCTGCCTTGGAAGATATGGCTTTCATTTTTGGAATTAATTTTTTTTTGCAAGTTTTCTTTAGTTGAGTCTTCTTAAACTTCTTACACATCACTGCATCATTAGAATTCTTTTCTAATAGGGATTTGGGGCACTTAAATTGACCTAACTTGTAATTAGTGAGTGAAAAGGGAGCAAGATAAACCTTAGCTGTTTTTCCTAGAACTGTAGTCTGTTCTGGTCTCAGAGATACGTGAACGACGTTTTGATTTTCTTTATATTCATTCACCTATTCAAGTCAATAAAGGAAAACAGTATTAGAAACCCAAGTCCTCTGCCTTTTCTTACAAGATCCCAACTAATCTCCGTTAACAAATCTAACCTCCATTTCATAATGACAACATAATTCAAACTGATAGCTTGTAAGGAAACTTCTTCCCCGCCTCCAAAATCTCTATTCATAATTCATTAGCTTGAATGAAATTACTGAGTTTTATTGAGCAAATTTTTTTTCCATAGGAGCTTACCAAAGCAATAAATAATGACTAGCGTTTGTAACTTAAGGGACTACTCCAACTGTCAGCTTCACAGTAACTTAATAAAGTTGCTAAAGCAAATGCTGGGGGCATGCGAAAAGGAGGTCCCAGATCCCATCCTGTCATTATTTCTAGGATTGTTGACAACAGCCTTCCTGTTGTTCTGGCACTGAAGGCCTATTTTCCACAGAAAACCAGGACAGAGATCCTCGCTTATCCCGGGTGCCAGGCAACGGTGCCCAGCAAATCCCAAAGACTAAGACAGGAGAAACAGAAAACCGTCAGACCGCTTCTCACCTTCACCTGGTTACGCTGTCTGGAGCAAGCCTTCTCCTCGGCCTCCGCGCTTAACCACGACATCTTTCTACGGCTTAGCAGCTGACGTCTTCCCGCCAAGACTGCGCGGGAGCCCGGGTGGGCGGGCCCTGGGGGAGTTCTAGAGGGAGGGGCAGCCCAGCCCGGATTTGAGCCCCGGGAAGAGGAGCCCCGCTCCGCTGACCTAGCAGCAGCGGGAGAACCTCCCCAATCCACGTTTTTACCCTGGACCCTGTGATTCAGGTGTCTGTGGTACTGGGGTTTCGCTCTGAAAAACACTGGCGCGGGGCTGGGGCTGGGCCGTAGAGCATTTGCCTTGCACGTGTGAGGCCCTGGGTTCTATCCTCAGCACCACGTAAAAATAAATAAATAAAATAAAGGTATTGTGTCCACCTACAACTAAAAAAAAAAAAAAAAAAACAAAAGAAAGAAAAACACTGGCGCTTCTCCTAAGGGAAAAACTACTGCCCTGCGACGTGAGTCTGGGAAAAGTTAAGACGTACGTAGGTGCCATATGGAACGGAGGGCAAAGGAAATAAAAATTAATATGCAATGCAGGCTTTACCTAGGCCATTGCTTCCTTGTAACTCCACTACCAAAAATGATGTTCCTTTATTATATCTTCTTCCTAGGAAAGGAAGCACCCCTGGCCACAAAATTTAAATCCTCTTACTTCAGCCTCCCAAATAGTTGGGATTATAGGAGTGCTCTATCGTCCCCAAAATAAATCTTTTCAAAATTATGTCTACTCTTTATGTCTCTATCTCTCCCCAAACTGCTTCCTTGGTTCATTAATTGAATCACTACTGTTCTTTGCTTGACACTTGCCAATTTGGTGACAGAGGTACTGAGACTGACCTGAGGGGCACCACTGAGTTACATCCCCAGCCCTTTTTATTTTTTGAGAAAGGGTCTCACTAAATTTCTGAGGCTGACTTGAAATCCTCCAGCTTCATTCTCTCCAATCACTGGGATTACAGGCAGGGCACACCATGCTCGGTGCCGACTTAATTTCTTTTCCCAATCAGGGCCCAGCTTTAAAATGTAAGCTTTAAAATAATTTGAAAGTTAATCATATTTGTTGCATCTTCAAGATCTTCTATGACCTCGTATGCATGGAATTTTCTCTTGACTCAAAAATTACTGATAAACCAAACTTTCAGTGACCCATATATACCGTACTATTTCTGGACTTCAAAGATTCTGCTCACGCTAACCCTTCTCTCCCCAAACATGGTAATTATAAAGCCCTTCCTAAGGTGAAGCGTGTTATGACTTCCAATAAGTCAATTTGTTTTACACAGCTCAGCTGTAAATTGGAGTTGCTTGTTATTATTCTAAAAGTTCTTTAAAACTTCCTAAATAAAACTCAGTTTTCTTGGACTTTAACAATAGTCCATACTCTTTTCAGAGCCTAAATACAGTTAAAATAAGCACTTAATTACTTTGGAAATCCAGCCAAGAATGGATTTTAATACGCAGTTTCCAGAATCCCCATCCAATGGACAGATTAAACCAATTCTTCTGCGTGTTCAACAATCTAGACAAATAACAACTCGTTATCTCCTCAGTTTCTCGTTCACGGCTATCTGGCCGAACCCGACGGCGCACGCCTATAATCCCAGGGATTCTAGAGGCAGAGACAGGAGGATCGCCAGTTCAATAACATCCTCAGCAATTTAGCGGCACCCTGTCTCAAAATAAAAAATAAAAAGGGTTGGACATGTAGCTTAGTGGTAGAACGCCCTTGCATTCAATTCCCAGACCAAAAAGAACGAAACTTCCTTGCCCTACAGCCAAATCCAAAGGAAGCAACTTCCCACCAGAAGGGGATTCCAAATTCTGCAAGGTTGAGGACCCGGAAGGCACGGAGAGGTGGGGGACTGGAGGAGCGGTGGGGACGGGGGAGGGGCGCCTAAGGACATGCGCAATAACAGAATTTTTAAGCGGCCTGCGCTCAGAAGTCCTCCAAAATCCCACAATCCTCTCGTAACACATTTCCGGTTTACCTAGCTCTGACGTAAAAGTAGTTTCTATCAGTCGTGCTGTCGTGCCGGGCGTACCTAGGTGGGAAGTAGTTTAGCTGTTCGTTTTGAGTGTTCGCTGCTTATAAATCAACACCGCTGCAATCAACATGTCGGTCCCAAGCGCACTCATGAAGCAACCGCCCATTCAGTCTACGGCTGGGGCCGTCCCCGTTCGCAATGAGAAAGGTAACTGTGCTCACCCCTCTCCCAGTCAGATTTTACCTCTCCCAGCCTCGGCATCCTCCAAAACTCCCCCGGCTGGCCACCCGAACCCCGCTGGCCTCATTTCTTCTGCCTTTCCACACTAAAGTCGCACCCGTTCGCGTTGTCTGGGTTGAGGAGGAGATCTACTTTGCATCATATTTTGTTCTTGTGACCTGTCTGCTCTCGTAGGGCAAGCACCCCTCTATTCTATTGGCCTCCATAAATTTCTTACATAGCAGTCTGTTTAGGCTGCTTTGATAACTCTTATCAAGTATTGTAGTTATTTACGTGTCTATCTTCCCCTAGAAGACCATAACTTCGTTCAGGCCAGGAACCGTGTCTTCGAATAGAAAGTTGTGTAAGGTAGTGCCCCAACTTTAAGTCATTCATATTCTAGTGCATATAAGACATGAAAAAAGAGGTACATGCCCAGCAGATTGGGGTAATCAAGAAAAGCTTCTTGAAGACAGTGTCATTTAATTTGATCCTTAAAGAACGGGTATGATTTCAATAAGTGCAGATGTAGGAAGGACCAAAGTTTTTTCAGTAAAAATGTCGGGAAAGAATATTATTTTTTTTCCTTATTCTTTAAATATCCTGTATCAAACTTTGTGCAACTTGCCTATTTGGTGGTGGTGGGGGGATGCTGTTCATTAAACCCAGGCCTTCTGCATGACAGTCAGATGCTCTACCACAGAACTACACCATTTTTTTCTTTCTTTAACTCAACATGACTTTTGAGAATATTTTAATAAATATCAATTTCATTCATTTTAACTGCTTTTAAATTCCATTAAATAAATAAATAAACCACAATTTATTCCCTCCTGATGGGTAGTTAGTAGTTAGTTGTTGCCATATTGTTTTTCCTTTTATTGCAGAAGCCTGCAGTTGTCATCTTTCTTTGTTGTTGTTGTTGTCAATGGGTCTTTATTTATATGGGGTGTTAAGAATCAAACCCAATGCCTCACATATGTTATGCAAGTGCTCTACCACTGAGCTACAACCCCAGCCCCAGTTGTCACTCTTTTTTTTTTCTAGAAGTAGTTGCACACAATACCTTTATTTTATTTATTTATTTTTATATGGCTCTGAGGGCCTTGCACATGCTAGATGATCGCTCTGCCACTGAGCCACAATCCCAGCCCCCAGTTGTCATTCTTAAATGTATCTATTGGATACCTTTTTTTTTTTTGGTACTGGGGATTGAACTCAGAGGCACTTAACTACTGAGCCACATCCCCAGCCCTTTTTTGTATTTTGTTTAGAGAAAGGTCTCAGTGAGTTGTTTAGCACCTTCTAAATTTCTGAGGATGACTTTGAACTCATGATTCTCCTGCCTCAACCCCTTAAATTTACCACTGGATTACAAGACTGAGCCATACCATGCCTGGCTTTGTGATACATTTATGTAAAAATTTCCTTAGGGAGGAACTTTACTATCTGTAACCAATTGTTCTCCAAAGTAAATTATAAGAACTTCATAGTTTTTATTTCCTAGACATCCATCCATACTTCATTGTATGGGATCTTTCTTTCTTTTTTTTTTATTTTTTTATTTCTTTGTAGTGGGCATTGAATCCAAGGCACTTACCACTGAGCTACCTGCCCAGCCTTTTTTTTTTTTTTTTGCAGTTGTATATGGACTGCATTCCTTTATCTTATTTATTTATTTTTGTGTGGTGCTGAGACTCAAACCCATTGTCTCACACATGCAAGGCAAGCGCTCTGCCACTGAGCTATAGCCTCAGCCCTACTGCCTAGCCTTTTATTTTCTTATTTTGAGACAGGGTCTTGCTGAGTTGTTTAGGGCCTCATTACATTTCTGAGCCTGGCCTAAAACTTGTGATCCTCTTGTCTCAGCCTCCCAAGCTGCTAGGATTTCAGGCATACGCTACTGTGCCCAGCTTCCAGGCTGGTCTTAAACTCCTGGGATCAATTAATCGTACCTCAGCCTCCAGAATACACCTGATTACTTTTTTTAGAAAGTTTTTATTCTAATTTGTTATAAACCTGACTACCATGGTGGGGGGGCAGGTAATGGTGTTAGGAACTAAACCCAGGACTTCATGCATATTAGGCAAGCACCCTACCATTTCACTACATCCCAAGTCCCTAATTTACTATAACTTTAAGCCTTGCTCTTTGGTACAAACCACCTCCTCCTTTACCCCCTCTATTTTATTCTTCATCAGAATTATCTTAGTTCTTTTCGGCCTCCTATCCTTCTATATGATTTTAGAAACAGCCTGGGGCAACTTTTAATGGAATTGCATTAAAATTATAGATTATACATTTATAGGATAATTCAGGCATAGTTACGATCTTCTCATCCTTGAACATGATATATTTCTCCATTTATTTAGAGCTTTTATTTTTTTTTTTTTATTGTTGGTCGTTCAAAACATTACATAGTTCTTAATATATCATATTTCACAGTTTGATTCAAGTGGGTTATGAACTCCCAATTTTACCCCATACACAGATTGCTGTATCACATCAGTTACCCTTCCATTGATTTACATTATTTAGAGCTTTTATATCTTTGAATAAAATTATACTTTTCCTCCTAAAGGCATTATTTTACTTGTTGAATTTATTTCTTGGTATTGAGTAGTTGCCGATGTAAATGGTATTTTAAACAATATTTTCTAACTATACATAGTTATACATAAATACACTGTGTGTGTGCTGGGGGGGGCGGTGCTGGGGATTGAAACCAGGGCCTTGTGCATGCAAGGCAAGCACTCTTCCAACTAAGCTATATCCCCGGACCCAACACTTTTTCTTGTTTGTTTATTTGTTTGTTTGTTTGTTTGTTTATTTTAGTTGTTAATGGATCTTTATTTTATTTATTTATATGTGATGCTGAGAATCAAATCCAGTGCCTCACACATGCTAGGCAAGTACTTTACCACTGAGGCACAACCCCAGCTGCCCCATTCACTTATTTTTATATACATACAGGTTTTTTGTTTTTGTTTTGGCTTGGTTTTTGGTACCGGAGATTGAACTCATCCCCAGTTCTATTTTATATCTATTTTATATTTTATTTAGAAACAAGGTCTTGCTGAGTTGCTTGGTACCTTGCTAAATTGCTGAGGCTAGGTTTTGTTGGTTTTTTT